AAGGGAACCAGTACAGCCCAAAGCAGCTAAATGAGGAACGTTTCTATATTCAATTACTTAGTAAAGCAAGATACCAAGAGGGAAAGCTGAGGTGGACTCACAAGCTATACATGAGATGTCTGAAAACACTGATTTCTGCTGAAACACATATTTGTAACAAGATCATAAAGCCTTTTAGGAACAACTAGAAAATATTTGACTGGTTTTAAACTTATTTACAGTCCCTCTAACACAATCTGACAGGAAGGTCTGTGGTGCTGGTCCTTAGATTTTCAATAGGCTGATGCTTTGACTTTCTTGAGCCGAGATGTTAAGTGACCATACAGATGCTGCAAACACATGCAGTGTTTGTCTAGCAGAGTTACATTGATTTGACGTGTAGGACTACAGAGAGCTATTAACCTTGTGTGGCAAAAGCTTACCTCAGCAGAAATCCTTGTACAGAAATAGTTTGTCATGAAAAGAAAGCATTAACTATGCTAGCAATGCTGTGTTCACTGTAAAGGTAGATGGCAGAGATAGGCCTTCACAGAATCAAGAACACTGCAGGTGATCTTCAGAGCCACAGTTAATTCTGGGTGCTCAGGGTCATATTCAGAGTTTTAATATCTCTAGGGATGAAGGTTGCAAAATCTTTGTATGCCAATGCTTAGTCACTCTCAAAGTAAAAACTGTTTTCCCATATGATGTAACCATTTCCTTCGTTGGAATTTTCCTTGGTTGAAACATTTTCCTTTGTCCTTTCTCAAGACATAGGGGGAACTCAGGCTGAGGAGGCTCTGAGGAGGCTCTCCTCACCAAAGAGAACAATGTTCATGGGCATTCAGAGTGATTTCCAAGGCTTTTCTATACAACTAGTCAGCCTGTATGTCATACATTCAATTCATACTATTTTTATTAACGAAAAAAAAAGACACCTTAATGACAGCTATTCTTACTTTAATACAACAGATCTTTCTCCTTGGCACAAATGGTCAAATAAAATGAGGCAGTCATTACTCTGAAAAATGTCAAGACACTTACTGGACTTCCCTAACACTAGGTATCCACTGTACTTGTCTTTTCTTGACAATCCCAGGGTGACTTCCAAAGTGAGAGATAGTGTGGTCTGCCACACAACTACACATGACCTAGTCAGCCCTGAGATTCAGGAAGAGACTGCAATTCTGTTTAGTACAGAAGTGAGACTCAACTGGAGATGCTCCTAAAGGATCTTTTGGACTGCAACACAGTCCTCTGCACCAAGCATCATGTTACTTCCTGAAAATCTTATTGGTTTAATTGAAATGGTTTTGTGCAATTTTTTTCTTTTAATGCAGAATATTCTGGCAGATCTGCCAGAAGAGGCAAAGGATTTTACGTAGCTGCTGAAAACATTGTTTCTGTGCTGTCAAGCCTTGTTAGATACTTCAAGTTAGAAAATTTGAGACTTGCTGTGCTGGCAAGTTGCTTGATCAAGTAGAAGAAAACAGGGAAATGAACCCAGAAGCAACTCCTTCTATTTTTTCAGCAAAACAAGAATATATTTTTCCATTCTGTTCCTATTCCCATTTTGGAAATGTAGGCACAGGAAGAACTGCCATTATGTACTCTTAGGGTCAAATTTTGGGAAGTCCTCGCTCATGTAACTAACGGAAAGGTTTTCATGCTTCAAAACTGGATGCTCATGCTTGCACCCTCTTTGATATTCTGGTATCTGAGACATCTCCTACATCATGCATTCTCTTGCTTCTCACAAGTTCAGCAGCATCCTCAGCACAGAGGCATCCTCAATAAACCAAATCCTTATTTTCTATTTTCCTTTTGCCACTGAAATCTGAGGGTTCAGTCTATGCTAACTTAAGCTACTGGAAGTCAGAACTATTGGGGTTCTGCCAGACTCTTGCTTCTAAATCTGTCCCTTCCCTTGTGCAGATGTTTCAGGGAATTTAGATAGATTAAATTTAATTGCTGAATACAAAGCCATGAGCTGTCAGCTGGGCCTCCCCACATTCCTACTGTCACTGCTTCCAGCAGCACCAGAACAAAATGGGGTCACACTAGTAACACCTTCATCAACAATGGCCACTGCTCCCAAACTTCTTGGGCAACAGTAAAATTGGTCTGGCAGCTATTAATGTTAGAAATACTAAAAAAATAGTATTTGCTGCTATTTTGAAGGAGTGGGTGCATCCTCAGATCCCCTGAGAACAGAGGCTTCACAGCTCAAGGGAAGGACCTCTGGCAGGTATCCTGCATCAAACAATATTCTAGAAAATGCCACTAGAAATCCTTCTGATTCATCTTGCAATCTCGCTGTCTCACATGGCCCATATGAATGACAGGTGACTTGGGACAGGCACCGCAGCAAATTATGATACAAAGAAGTGGAATGACAGGTCCTCCTGAGAACCTGAATGACCACAATAGTAAAGAATTCAGAGAGAAAGGCCTGGATTTGAATAGGTGAATGCTCCATTTAAGTAACAGAAAAAGACAGATGGCTGATTCTAGTCTTTTGCTAACTCCAAGTGACTAAAAGTATGTTAATAACACAAAAGAAAATTGTGTGAATTTGCCTGTTCCTTCAGGCTGTGAACCGCACTACAGAAATACTTAGCCCCATCTCACTTTGGAAGTCAGAAAGCAAACAGAACTTGTAAAGTCAGAATGCCTCTATGTTACACCCCTTATATTCATCTGCCAAGGCAGGAACCAGGCAAGACCCCTGGAATACAAGATTACTTCTTTCATTTATAATAGTGATTATCTCAGTGTCCTATGTTCTTCAAACACAGCATTTCCTTTGTCTGGTAATCAATTTCAGATATGGTATCAGCTGGCTCCCCTGCACACATTCATGAGGTGTCCCAGGCTCACACATGGAACAACGTATCCTCATCAGCCTGCTGACCTCAGAAATCTACCAAGTCCCTCTGATCCTGTCCCTGTAAATATCAAGGTATCTTTAAATGTAGACTCAATTAACTTGTCTCATTAACCTCTGCAGACAAAGTATGTTTCCTCTATTCCCCTTTGTATGCACTATGAGTCACATGAGACTTTTTGGGCACTAATACATTGAAGTTCGTGCTGCAATGGAGAAATAGCATCTAAATCTATGTCGAGACTCCATTCAAGCACTGTCTTCACTGAGATGAAAGCCCCACACAAGCTCATTACCACACTTCATCAGTTCTGCCTGAAGGCAACTTGTTTATCACATAGCCTCTATAGTTTCCCTGTTTCCATCGTTATTTATCACTCGACTAATATTTGTCATGGTGCAGGTTTTATCGGCACTATCTTATGTGTATTTCCAGAACACACATAAAAAAATATTGAACTGCTAATGTAGAACTGTTTCCTGCAGAAACTCTCCAGGAACTTGACAAGGCAGTAAAAATCTCTCTTAAAGGTTCTTATTTGGCAATAGCTACTTTAACATGTGCTTCTACGTGCTATAGAAATGTCAAATACAACCATTCAACTTACTATAGCAGACACCCGTGGAAAAGAAATCACTCTTATCTTTATGCAGACCCTTCTATTAGCCATTCTCTCCCCTTGTCCCCAGTTCTCAATTTTCTCTGCAAATTTCCACACCATGAAGTGACTATTTTATGATTTCTGGGTTTGAGAATTTTACCTAGTGCTAATGTCATGCTAATTGCTCAATAGTGCCATAACATCTCATGTTTAGTTTATTCACCATACCATGGAACATACCAGACACTCAAGAAATACTCATTGATGGTCTGCAAAGCAACTGCTGTTTGCTTTAGGAATCAGTAAAATAATAGACATGTTTTAAGACCTACAAAAGTGCAAAAACTTGAACCTGCCTGCTCAGCAGCCTGCCCCTTTTATGGATGGAAATGCCAAGACACCAGTGTTTGTAGCCATTCTGATTAAAATGTTTATTCCATGTATTTCTGTGTCCTTGTTTCTGGAAAAACTTGAGATTGAAAACGGCTACCTGTTCTTACCATGCTAACAATTTCATTCTCTCAAAAAACAGGTCTGAAACTTACTGAAAAGTGCTATTTGTGAGCATGAGGCGGTGGGGATGTGGATTGAGATAAAACTTAGACTGCTTCAGAACCAACTGCTGAAAAAAATCTATTTCAATGGTACGTTAAATTCAGCTACTGTTACTACAATTCACAGTTCACTTAAACGTGTAACCCTAGTTCTGCAAAAGTCTTTGTCTGGACTTGTGTCCAATATACAGCCCCAAACCCTAGGGTCTATCTGCAATGTGCAGTCTTTGTGGGGGTTGGGGGCAGAATTGCAGCTTTTCGAATCAGTTGTTTCCAATGTTTTTTAACTGGGATGCTGATATTCCATACTGAAGAGCCACCTACATGCTGTGATGCTGGACTCAAAACTTTCCAAGCATTCTGTCGGATACAGGCAGCTTACTCGCGGTTTAACAGCCCTTCTGTCAGCATGCATCAGTCCCCTCCCCATGCTCGTATTTCCCCAGACTGCAGGAGACTCAGCCAAGCTAATTTCCACAGCCGAGCTTGCGACTTCAAAATCTTTTTTTTTCAGCTCTAGATCCCTGCCTTGGTTTTCACGGAGGCTGTAGCGAAGCAGCTCTGCCACCCAACAGGATAAATCCCTGGCCTGCCTTCCTTCTCCCTGAAGGCCTGCGCGGGTTCTGGCCCAGGCCCGGGCACCCGCCAGCGCTGAGGCGGGAGCGGCTGGGGGCGCTCTGAATACGGCAAGACCCGGGGAAACTGCCGGAAGCAGACTGAGGGAGCTTTTCCCAGAGCACCGGGGCTGACCACGGTCATGCCCCGAGCAGCTCCGAGACTCCAATCCCTACCCAGCAACAGAAGCTGCCGCCGCCGCCACCCTCCATCTCCGCCCCTCAGCGCCTCCCCCGCCCCCCGCGCGCCGCAGCCGCTGGCGCGGCCGTTCCCCATTGGCTGCGGCGCTGCCCGGGCGCCGGCGCGGCCAATGCGCGGCGGCCACGGCGGGGCGCGCGGCGCGAGCGGGGCGGGGCGCGTAGGCCGTGGCAGCGGCGGCGGCCGAGGGCGCGCGGCAGCCATGGGGGTGCGCGGCGCGGGCCGGCTGTGGTGGGGTAGGAGCCGTGAGGGCCTGGGGGGCGGCGGGACGCGGCTTCCCTTTCCCCAGCTTCCCTTTCCCCAGCTTCCCTTTCCCCAGCTTCCCTTTCCCCAGCTTCGCGGGCTCCGTCGCGGCGGGAGGGAGGGGGGCCCGAGGCCGTGCGGCCGCTCCGCGGGGCGGCGGGCGGAGCGGAAAGCCTCCTACAAGGGGGTTGTAGCCAGGTGGGGATCGGCCTCTTCTCCCAGACAGCTTGCAGTAGGATTAGAGGATATAGCCTTATGCTGCGCCAGAGAAGGTTTAGATTGGACGTTGGGACGAATTTCCTCACACATAGGGTGATCAGCTATTAAAACAGGCAGCCCGGGCCGGTGGTGGAGTCGCCGTCTGTATATTTGTTTAAGGAAGGACTGGGCGCGACACTCGGTGCCGCGGTGTGTTTGGGGTGATCGTTGTGGGCTGGGTGTGATCTCGGGGTGCTGTCCCAGCCCCGCTGGTTCTGCGGGGGCAGGCTCGCCGCCGCGGTCCGGCTGTGGCCGGTCTGTGCCGCGGGGGCGGGCAGCGCTCGCTGGGGCGGCGGAGCGCGCCTAGAGACAGCCTAAAGACCCAGCAGAAAGAGAAAAGAAAAGAAAGCTAGGGTTATCTCTCACCCTAATCTAAAACTTTCTTTGATTTGAGCGAGCAGCGGTGTTGTGCGTGCCTGGCTGCCCTGCCTTGTGGTCTGGTGCTTTGAGGGCAGCAAGAGCAATGACCGCGGTCAGGCGGAGTCGTCCGAGGGGGGCTGGTGTTCCCCTGCCCCTGCTGCCGCCTTTGTGCCGCAGGAATCGGTGAACGATTCCTACTCGGCCCTCGGATGGGAACGCCGAAGGTGCCGGGAGCTCTGCCCCAGGCTGTGGCTCGCCCAGCGCAGGTGTGCGGGATGTGTGGGCACACCGAGCACCGCTGCAGGAGGGGGTAATTGTGAGAGGAAGTTCACAGGATCATTATCATCCTCCCGTGACAGAAGCTTTTTTTTTTGTAATAAATCTCATCTTTGTGGTTCGTTTAGGACTATTAAGCCAGCATGGAGCTGCTTTAGCTGGTTTATTGATGCTTCTGTCTGTGTGATTTGCTTACATTAGAAAACAGCTTTTGAAGTCAGATTATCTATTTCTTTTTTCCTTAATAACAAGGACAGATTTGCATTTATATGGCTTGATGCTTGTTTTCTTTACTAAAGTTGAATTAAACCTTGAATGTTTCACTGTAGAAAGGAAAGTTATGCCACCAGTTCATGACTCATAGTTTAAAAAAATGATGCAGTGATGGGGGACTAAGAGAATTTCACCATGTACTTTCTTTTGTGAGTTCTCTTTAGCAGGCGTATTTAATAAGGTAGAACTTCTCTCTTTCAAGGGACGGAAGTGGCTGAGTGAATTCTGTCTTCTGAAAGTATTCACCTAAAAGGTGAAGCAAGAATATGCTGATTTCAATTTAATGGTCACATTCTGTCTAGAAGAGTTTTTTTTTTCCTTGAGAGTGACTGTAACGTTCAAGAAGCTTTTTCCATCGTTTTTTCTTGCTCTACCCCAGCAGTAGCTCCTACTGTAGGCATCATAACATGCTGTGGAAGCTCTACAGATTACCTTGGAAGTCAGTTTTTCAGTGCTCATGAAGTGCTGCTTATGTATGGGTATATTGAAGAGACAGAGCCAATCTAACACATACATCTGGTGGTGGAAATTCATTTTGATCACCCCAGAAGAAAAGGGCTGGGTCCTTGTGCTAGAAGAAACCATTGGGATGGAGTAGTGGTGCAGTAGAGAGGGGACTGGTTTATAGTGTGGCAATTCAGTTCTGATCTCTGCTTGAGTAACATGGAAGATGTTACTTCTGCCAGCTTCACTCTCACGCAGAATAGGGGTGATGGAACTGGCTTTTGGGGCTGATCAAGCATAGGTGATGCTGTGCAGTCTCTATACCATTGTGCTGTAGAGTTTCTGCATCATTGACCTGTTTTTCTCTCATGTTGAGTCTTGAGAGAGAATCTGCAGCTTCCCATTCAAGTTAACCACTTGCAGCAAAGCTTTTTTATGTCTGGTTCTAACTTGAGTGTCTGAGCTCTTATTCTCTCCAGTCTTTAGTGGATTACAAAAAGTCTTTTGCTGGGTGGATTTTGTTACAGAAATGCTTGTCATCTCTCAATCTCCCTGACTAGGTAGAAGGATTATGAGGTTTTATGTACAAAGTATCAAGAAATAATAAGTTCCAGAAATAATCAGAAGTACAAAACCATAAGAGAATGCAATTTCTTTCTAGCTTTTAATGTTATTTTTTTAGCATTTTCAGGGTGCTTGAGTTGTTAACAAGAGATTAGCTGTTGTTGTCCAGATCTGTTCCTAAAGACATAAATCAATGGTAGACTAAGATGCTCACTAGCAGGAACAATGCACTACCAGTGCATCAAGTGCTGGTCCTAGAATCACTGTAACTGTGCCAAGCCTGGTTGGGACAATCCTGCTTGACGTGATCCTATAAAAGATGTATTTGAGTGCTGCTATGCAAGAGGTTTGAACAACTGGCTTAGGAGCTTGTGTAAGAACTGAAAGAATACATAGCTGATGGTGGGGATCCTTGCAGAAGTTCTGGTGGTCTGGTGCCAGCAGGAGTTAGGGTAAGAGCTTTGACACAAGTCTCTCTGCAGAGCCATAGCAGGAATGGTGTAACTCCAGCTAGCTTTAGGCACAGACCCTGTTTTACATGATCCTATGGAATCATGTTTTAACTGAGGAGGGAGAGCATCTATCTTGCCTTAACTTCCTTTTTTTATCCGGATTAACTGGAATCCCTTCCCACCACTGCTGATTTGCAAAGAGTGGGCAACTTAAAGGAGAGTCTTAAATGTTCAACAGGACTGCTGATGTCTTTGCTTGTCGTTGTAGGCACGGTGAGCTGCACTTTGTTCCTGGCAGTTAATGGTTTGTATTCGGCCAGTGATGATGTGATAGAGCTCACACCAACTAACTTCAACAAAGAGGTCATTCAGAGTGACAGCCTGTGGCTGGTGGAGTTCTATGCCCCATGGTAAGAGCTGCAGCTGTGTACTTGCTTGCTTGTATGACAGAGAAGCAGCACAGGAATCTGCTGCTGATAGCCCAAGTTTTCATTCAATTGTTGGAGCACAGTTGTCAGTTTGATGGCCTCATGACTAGCAAAATAAATGTACTTGGGATTCCTATTTTCATGAGGGAAAAAGACAGGAATTGGCATAGGTTTTGCTACCAAGCTCTATTTGCAAACTTGAAATACCATTTTTCTACTTGATTTATTCTGGTTAAATTAGTATTAAAAATGACTGATTAAAGTGCAGTAGGTAAGTAAGAAAGTCTCTCACTTCTATGTTTCTGAGCCTAATTCTGATGTGAAAGCACAGATCTGAATTCACACTTAAAACTTCCAATTTCCATTTAACAATACTGCCTTTTGCGTCTTAATTTAGAATCCCTCTTTGTCTTCTTTCTGCTCAGGTCCAGACTATGGAGTCTCTATTCCATTTAAATTCTGGTGATATATATATTCCATCTTTGTACAAATCCTCTGAGATATTGCCATCCAAAGCTCCACATTCTGGAGAAAATGGCCTTTTGTTGAGACAGCTTGACTCTGGACCGAGAGGTTTAGGGGAAGCCTTGCTGTGTCTTCTAGTGTTGCTGTAGTCTATATAATGTGGAGGTTTTTCTTCAGAAGCCTGCATGATGGATGGTATGATCTTGTGGCACAGGCTCTTTTCTTCATGAGTAAATCCTCAGTCTGCTATGGTTTGCTGTAAGTGACTGTGAAATATTGTCACATGTGAATGGCATTTATGGTTTTTGTTTATTTGTTTGTTTTTTCTAAAAGGTGTGGTCATTGTCAAAGGCTAACTCCTGAGTGGAAGAAAGCAGCAACAGCTTTAAAAGTAAGTTTAGCCTTTCAAATGTGCTTGTGGAATTGTATTGAAGAGAGTTTGGCTGTTGGATATCTGGCTTGGGAATATGGAGAGGTTTGGTCCTTAAAACCATTATCACTTTAATCATACTTGTCTAGCCAGAAAAGTTTTATTCAGGCACCTGAAAACTCAGAATTTTTGTTTGATTTGGTTTGTTGTATCCTTTTTAAAAGAAGCCATTGAATTGTAGAGGAAAAAAGGCAGTGCTGTCCCTGTGAATTCCCATTACTATTCTCTAGGACTGAAAACAGCTTTGTAAGCCATTGGTGTTGACTAATTTTTTAATTACAGAAAAATTAGTCATGGTGTGATTTGCTGAACTCTCGACTATGTGAAATACATATATTCTCCTCCTTAGAAAACCAAACAAAAAACCCCAACTAAATAATAGCTCAAACAATTTAAAATTTATTTTGTCATGCTGAAGAAAGAAGTGGACATTATAGTATTCTGTAGTTTAATGCTTGTGGGGTAAAATACCTCTCTTCTGTTGCTATTTAACTGTCCCTCTCTCTTCCCCCCTTCCCTTGTGCCCCCAACAGGGAAAAGGTGTTAAATTGCTGTAGAAGTCTTGGTGTCATTTTTTGGTTTGTTTCTGCAGGGTGTAGTGAAAGTGGGTGCAGTAGATGCAGATAAACATCAGTCCTTGGGTGGACAATATGGAGTCAGAGGGTTTCCAACTATCAAGATATTTGGAGCCAACAAAAACAAAGCAGAGGATTATCAGGGTAAATGTGACAAATTTTTAGGTGTTGCATGCCTAAAACCTTCCCTGAATGCAGTAATCATGGTAGCTGTTAATGCTGTGTGAGTGGATTTTCCATCCTGTCTAGTGCTTGTAGTAATGGAGAGACAGATGGGTGGGAGTGGTTTGACCAAATTGTGTATATCTTAGCATTGTCTAATAGTCTCACCCGCAGTTCATAGTTGTTGGGAGGTTGATAGGGCGTTTCAAGGAATTACTCCTTTCTTCCTGTTTATTTGGAGCTTGCCATAGAGTCTTCCTCATAAGAAAAGCCAGGTAATGAAAAGATGTAGTGAAGTCTGTCTTGCTGCTCGTGTTTAAGTCAGATGTCCCACCACTAGTACCTTATTACTCATAACCCAGTCCTGCTTCTCCTGAAAGATCATTAGGGTGAGGGAGGATTTAGTTTATAATTAAGTTAGGAGCATACCTTAAACTGGCCTTTTGGTTTGATCACTTACTTTCCTGCACTGCAGGTGGCAGGACAAGTGATGCTATAGTTGATGCTGCTCTAAGTGCTCTTCGGACCCTGGTGAAAGAACGTCTTAGTGGCAGAAGTGGAGGATACAGCTCTGGAAAACAGGTATTTGAGGGAATGTGTGTTTGCTTTTCAGCTGGAGATTGTCTTGTATAGGAGATCAAAGCTCCCAACTCAGTCATAGAATTGGAAGAGATCTCTGTAGTTTTATCTAGAGCAGCTCCATCTGGAGCAGATTGGTCAGGGCTGTGTCCCCTAAAGTTGTATCTTCAAGAACTGAGACTCCAAATGGACTGTATTCTTTGGGCTACCTGTTCCAGTGTTTGACCATGTTCACATAGTTATGTTTTAGGTTATAGAATCATAGAATGGTATTTCCTATATTTCAGTTAAGTCCCTTTTGTCTCTTGTTGCAGCAAAGAGCCTGCCTTTATTTTCTGTACTCTCCTGCACACTCTCATCACATGTCAGATGCTCAAAGCCCTTAACCAGCTCTGACCATTGGCTGGACTTGCTCCAGTGTGTGCATGCCTGTTCTGTGGGGGAGCCTAGAACTAGACTCTGCACTCCAGGTGTTTCACATTGTACTGAGCAGAAGATTGCCTCCTCAGACCTTCTGGCAACTCTACCTGGAGTTGCTGAGGCTGTTGACCACCTTTGCCACAGGATTGCAGTGCTGACTCATGTCCAATTTGTCCACCAGGACATTGGTGTTCCTCTTTGAAAAGTTGCTTTCCAGCTAGTCAGTTCTCAGTGCCTTCTGGTGTATATGAGGCTGTCACTTTCCAAGTGCATCTCCCTTTGAACAGGGGTTCCTGTTAGCCCCATTCTCCAAATGGTTCAGGTACTGTTTTTCCTAGTCTAAATTAGACAGATTAAGTTTTTTTTTAGCTTGGTAGGGTTTTTCTGAAGTTGGCTTGCTGGATTTCTTTCTGAAGGTAAATTGAACCAGCTTCCAGCTCCTACTACTATTTCTAAGTCGCTGTGCAAGTATTCTGACATCCTCAGGGTGGCCACATAGAAGACCTGGGTGGACTGTACCCTGTAGTGTATATCACACTCCCATATGTTTGTTTTGCCTGGAAACCAGGACTTGGTTCCAGATGGAGGTGGGGGTTGGAGAGCACTTTATTCATGGACAGATCAGTGCATGAAGAATTGAAAAAGTGTTCCCATGTCTTCTTGGTAGTCAGTTTGACCCTGTTTCTCTTTTCATGAGAAGGTTCATTTGCTGTGTCTTGAAAATACTGTGGGGAGTAGGCTGTGTATACTGTCAGTTCTAAAAAGGGAAAGTTAATGTTGTATGACCTAACACTGCCTGTTTTCTATCTTGCTCAAATAAAGATGGTTTGGTTCAATGTGACATACACGGGAGTTGGCCTGTGTGGGAGACAAGTTTTGGTAACTTCTGATGTGAAGGTCTGTTTGTTTCTTACAGAGCCGGGAGAGTGGAGGTGGAGATAAGAAGGATGTGATTGAGCTGACAGATGACAGCTTTGATAAGAATGTCATAAATAGTGACGATGTGTGGATGGTGGAGTTTTATGCCCCATGGTGTGGGCACTGCAAAAAGTAAATGAGGTTTTACTTTAACAATTCAGTTCCTGTTAGTGCCTGTTTTGTGTAATACCCTTAATCCCCTAAAAGAGACCTTGCATCTCTGGTACACCAGAAGTGATTTTTTTTGTAAGGTGATCTAACAAAAATTTGTGGGCTTCTGCTAAGGGCCCCTTGATGCTGCTCTGGCTGCACTCCTCCTTAGCTGTAAAATTCCCAGTTACAAGTAGAAATAAGATCTGGAACTTACAGTAAACTTTTCATTCCTTCAAATAAAGGACATCAGTCTTGTTTGAATAACCCTCTTACCTGTCATTCTCAGCAAGAGACTTTTCCTTGAGTAAAACATGCTACACAATATTGAAGTGTGGTATACCTTTGCTAGATCTGAGAGTGCTTAGGGTACTTTGTTTTTCAGCCTGGAGCCAGAATGGGCAGCTGCTGCCACTGAGGTGAAGGAGCAAACAAAAGGAAAAGTAAAGCTGGCTGCAGTAGATGCAACAGTCAATCAGATGCTGGCAAGCCGATACGGGGTGAGTGTGCTCTGCAGTGGTCACAATTTCCTTTCCATTTCTACCAAATCAGATTTCTCTTCAATCCTTACTGAGCTGTTCCTTAATCTGGTACTACTTAAATGGTTTGTGCCAAAAGTAAGTGACACATTCAGTTTGTTTCCCACAAATAATTAATGAATGTCAATAACAACAGAAATAAATGGAGAAAGAGGAAAATAATTATTCTGGATGTTGCTGAGGAGAATGGCTATTTATTTCCATAACATTGTATACTTTTATCATCTGGAGTGAGAGGTCTCTTTCTTGAGACTGTAGGCTGGTTGGGTATCTCTGGAACCCTTGGAGCCAGTTATCAGGGATCACTCTGACAATATCAGTTGCCCAGATCAGGTGTGTTGCTCACCAAAAGAGAATGGATACTCTTGAATTTTTAGTATAATCCACAGATCTTACAGCATGCTGCATAGTTTCCCTCTAAGTGCACATGGCTGACAGCGTAGAGGGAACACTGAGAAAGATTTGCTGGAAGTGTAGCAGAAGGAGCTTAAGGTCCAATTACTGCCATGTAGACCCAGTGCTGTCCATCCCCAGAAAAATCAGGAAATTATCGTTTAATAAATATCAAGGGTAAAGATAGTCCTCCCAGTGCTTAAACCTGCAGTGCTTGGTGCATCTAAATTGAGATAAAACCATTGCTGATTCATCAGGCCAAAACCCTGAACAGCATTTTAGTGTATGCTCACCTTGTTTTGAATTGTTGCAAAGGTAGGAAGCTATAAAATTCGAATGTAGTCAGAACATGTGAGACTTCATACACGAAGGTGTTGAATCTCCTCCCTTGCTCTTAGTCTAGAGGACATCAGACAAGCAGATAATTTCCACCATAAATATTCAAGTTTATTTGAGCTGATGGTTTAAACTTGTCTTGCAGATTCGTGGATTTCCCACCATTAAAATCTTCCAGAAAGGAGAAGACCCTGTTGATTATGATGGTGGGAGAACTAGATCTGATATCATTGCTCGTGCTCTGGACCTGTTTTCTGATAATGCACCACCACCTGAGCTCCTGGAGGTACCTATACATCATTTTCTCAAATTTCTTTTCCATCATATGGCAGCAGTTTTTAGTGGTCGATATGAACTCTAATAAAACTGCCTAAGTGTGGTGCTTCTGCACTGTTTTGCCCCAGAAAGTAAAGGATGACAAGCTTTGAGTAACAAAAAGCTGAATGTTCATTTCTACAGTCAATTTGTTGTTGTTTGGAAGATGATCAGGACTAATACAGTGAAGGCATTACTAGGATGGTGCCAGGATGTCTGAATCTGCTTTTGAGGAATGAGTGAAAAAGTTGAGTTCTGTTCCCCATCTCTTCTCTTACAATAAGAGGGCAGGGCCTTGTTATTTGCAAGCTGTCCATTAGGAGATGTATGATGAGTAGTTTTGCTTGTTGTCCGAAAAACTCCACCCTCTGTCAGGCAGCTTTTTTTTTCAGTTTGCCGTTGGTAGGTTTGAAATGGTGATCACTTATCTCCAAAGTGAGGTGCACAGAAGATAGTCAATTGAGATGCAGGAAGGAAAAAACAAAAAAATATCAGTACTATTAATAAAGATATTTTTATATGGTACTTACTTAATCTTTCTTATCATTCTAAATTTTTTGGTTTGTATGCTTTCTAATATTAATACATCAATTCACGTTGATGTACGTGTATACACGTGTAATTGATTTATATATATCAGAGGCTCATGCTTAGGATGCACAAAGGCTGGAGACCATTGTTATAGGTCACTGGATCAATTCCTTTTTGGGACAGATCCCACAAAACCAGTGCTGCTATTACTGTTGCTTGAACATCCTCATCCACAGCAAAGTCTGCCTCTGCTGGTTCTCCTTATGCTCGCAGGCATTCTCATGGGCCTGGGGGTGCTCTTCCAGCCTTGGGCAAGAACAGTGATTTTGAGCAAGAAGTGGTATTTGACTGTGCCTTCTGTAAACCTAATTTGGTAGTGCAGTTTCTTGTTTCTGCAAGTCTCAACAGAAGACTTCGTGAACTCCTGGTAAATTACTATTGTACTGGAGGACCAGTGAAGTAGAAGAGACTTGTAAGCTTTTGTGTCGAGTTGTTTTAATGCTTACTGCCTTGTAGGATGGAGTTATTAGGCTGTTGGAGGGAAGTACAGTCACAACTGAAGAACCAGATTTTACTGTAATTGACTTTGTGCTGCTTTCTTTTAGATAATTAGTGAGGATGTTCTGAAAAGTACCTGTGATGCTCATCAGCTCTGCATCATTTCTGTCCTGCCTCATATTCTTGACACAGGTATACATACAAATAAGCAGACTTCTGTATGAATTTGTCGCTTAAAGCAGCAGTTGTGTTTTTTACTTGTCCAATTCTGTTTAACAAACAGGAGCTTCAGGCAGAAATTCTTACCTGGATGTCATGTTAAAAATGGCTGAAAAATACAAAAAGAAAATGTGGGGGTAAGTGTTACTGTCCACTGGTCATCTTGGACAACATGTGAGCATTTCCGGGGGTAAATGGGATAAAAATAATATGAAACTTGTTTAGGCTACAGAAAGAGTTGTTCCTTGTTCAGGGTAGCATATCTTGTATTTCACTAATTAGTGGAGAAGGGAATGCTGTGACTTTAAAATAGCTCTTTTTTTTTTTATTTCATTCACCTCTTGAATTCTGCATTTACAAGTGATATCTAAGCATTAAGGTGATTAAGCATCTTTTACTCTTGTCCTGAATACTCAGGTATTTTAGGGAGGTTTCTTTTACCATCTTCTGTTGGTTAGTGAGTGTGCCAGTGTGACTTTTGAATTCTAAAAGAAACAAGTAACTTGCAGTTTATTAACATGTTTCATGCTCTCAAAGAAACAGGCCAGCAGGCTATGCCTGTACTCCTCCTTTTCTTAGGTGCAGGTTAGGATCTCTGGGATTTCTCAGGAAAGTGAGAGATATTCTGTCACACTGACTGCTCTGAAGAGGAGCAAAATGGCATGAAAGCCTGGGGAAAATGCTGAGATTGGCTCATTCCAGAGTTTCCTCAGGGATCTTGCTAAGATGAGAGGAACTGAGACTGAGTGTCCTTAGCTAGAAATCCTCCATATTGATATTTGGACAGGACTTGGTAATCTTTAGTTCTGTGATTTGGATACTTTTAAACCTTCCCCTTAATACCAGCTCAAGTGTAGCTGTGTGTTCACTTACTAATATAGTTCTTCCCCTGCATTGTGTTTAATGGCTGTTCTTATCCAGCTTTTGGTGGTTGTGGGTTGGGGCTGGCCTAGAGGTGCTGCTGAGAGGGAGCATTCTTCTGTTGCAAGGTTCAGGATCAGGACTTTCCTTTACCCTGCTGACTTTGAAAGTGTCAAAGGTAATATAAAGCCCTACTTGAACTCTGCAGCATTGCAGGATAGGCGATTTGAAAATTACTGTGATGTCTATCCTTATTAATTTTCTATTTCATCTTTTCCTCAAGGTGGCTGTGGACAGAAGCAGGTGCTCAATCAGATCTTGAGAGCTCTCTGGGGATTGGAGGCTTTGGGTATCCAGCAATGGCAGCTGTTAATGCTCGGAAGATGAAATTTGCCCTTCTGAAAGGATCATTCAGTGAGCAAGGGATTAATGAGTTTCTCAGGTATGAAATCTTTAAGTGACTTAAATCTTTCTGTATCTAGGGCTGTGACTCTTTAGACTACAAGAAGCCTCTCATGCATCACACAAGACTTGCATGGTTAAGAGCATTAAGATGTGAATTCTGTGGAGTCAGGGAATGGTTTCAATGGTGATTGCAATAAAGCAGTCATTACCTTTTTGTGGTGTGCAGGATTAAGTTGGCTGTTTAGACGTAGGTAGTTTTAGTACAATACTTGAAAATAGAAGTAGACTTCAATGTTGAAAAATTCTATTTCTCTGGTAACTTAAGAAATAACTTAATAATGAAGTCCATTTAATTCAGATGGTACATTCTGACCAGTCATTAGCAATGTGAAAGTCCCCATTTTGGGAATCATAATGGGTGCTGTTGAACTTTTTGAAATTGTATATGTTGCTGTTCATCTTTCTGATTCAACTTGATGCTGTCTTCCCCCTCCCACCTTTCCATCCTCCTGGTAAACAGATACTTGATAAATGGACTGGGAGAGTTGAAACAATCTATCCAAAAGGTCAATACTTACTGCTCAGCGCAAGTCCTGTGCAACTGCCTCTTGTGTTGCTACACAAGAGCCAATGCTGAGAAAAATGGAATAGGGAAAGGAAATGGAGAGGATGACAGAAGGTAGCAGCAGCACTGAAACAGAGCAGCTAAACTTAAACTGTTATTTTAGTGTGGTCAAAGTGAAGTGGCAACTCTACTTCTACATTGTCCTGGTTTAGGGCACATTTGGGAAAAAAAATCCCAAAGGGGTTCTTTTACAAAGTAAATTTAAGCAGCCCCTCCCCCAACTCATTTGGGAAAAGATTTCCTTGGAGAAAAATAGAAAAAAGCCTGTTTATTTAACAGGCAAACCATTTACCAGTACAAAAAAAAAGAACAACATTAAACAATAAAACCTCTTGCTCTGAAGAGATGACTGACTTAGAAAGTCACTTCTGTGGGTTGCAGCTGGGCTTGCTCAGTCTCATATTAGTCCCTCTGGCGCTGGAAATGCCAGACTAGACTAACAAGACTGCTGGAAACTACCTTGAAAGCATTGGGTGTGGGGAATCTTTCAAAAATTGAGAGCAACATCTAACAAAGTACATCTAGTTAGTTAATACCTGTTAACTAACTAGTTAACAAGTGACATCAGAAGTCACTATTAAGTCCTTTTCCCTGAAGGACTTCCATGGTCTAAGAAAATATTACACCCAACGACCTGATGAACCTATAATTAGTTGGTTAGTCCATCTTTGGGATGCTGCAGGTGAGGCTACAATTCTAGACAGTAATAAAATGAGGCATTTAGAATCCCTATCACATGATCCAGGTATCAACCAAAAAATGATAAGGGGATGAACCCTCACAGTATCTGGGCACGGGTCCTAGGAAGTGTGACACAAATCTTTGTGTGTTCAGACGATCTCTATACGCAGCAAGCCCAGTGGAAGACCATAAAACAAGGGATTCAACAATTAAAAAAAATAACAGTAGCAGAAATTGTCTTCTCAAGTGACCTAAACACTAAATCCAGACTTAGTACCTTATACATTTGTGATACGGCAAAAACTTAAATTACTTGGGCCATAAAAATACATTTCTGCTTTAGCAATAATGAAGCGAGATGACAGAGAGGAGACCATGCTTAGTATGGCAAAGAAGCTCTGAGCACATGCAGATGCTGTGCATGGCCCAACACATGCAAGAATCAGAGCTGTAGAGACACGTCTGCAAAAATTAAAAAATAGGAGGAGAATCACAAGAAACTCAAGGAAGAAATCAGAGAAGAAATGAAAGAGGGCTTTCTCCACATCTCAGCAGTAGGGATTAAAAACTCTGGTACCAAATGCAAACATCCCTCAGGCAAAGAAAGTACACCCCACAAGCTGAGCTGTGGTTCTTCCTTTCTATAAAGAAAACTTGAAGAGATAAGATAGAAAACCTACTGCTGCTCTGGCTCTGGTGCTTAAATTAAAAAACAACAGGACTCAGGAAGTTCCACCAAAAAAAGCAGCTCCAGTAGCTGAACTGACAGGTATGATGATGATGATGACATGTTCAATCCCCTTAAAAGCACCTCCAGAACATATGCCCAGGGAAAGAAGAATTACCAGGCTTAGAAGTGCCCTGCCTTTAACCAGGTAGAGACTAAGGAAAACCATATTTTTTTAGACTGTGTAGATTCATTACATTACATCAGAACCACAAAAATATAAAGTCTTAGTCAAGTCTTAATGCACATTAATCCCATCAAGACCTGTGGGAGCAGAATCTGTTTCTATTGCTAGCATGACAGAGGGCTCACAAGATTTTACTCTAATGAAAGCTGATGTAAACCTGACTAAAAATAAGTGAAAGAAATACCCTACTGTGACTTGCCCAGAAGCTCCATACATTTTAAGCATACACTTCCTCTGAAAAGAGTATTTCAAAGACCCAAAGAGACTCAGGTGGGTGTTTAAGATAGCAACTATAGAGACAGGAGTCATTAAGTAATTAATCACCTTGCTTAGACTATCAAAGAACCCATCTGCAGTAGAACTTCTGAAGGGGGAAGAGCAATGAGTACCAATTGCCACTTTGACAGTGTACTACCAACAATACAGAACAACTCAAGATACTGTGATTCCCATCCAGAAGATAATCCATGAGCTAGAGAGCCAAGGGGTGGTCAGCAAAACTCACTCACCCTTCAACAATCCCATTTAGCCTGTATGCAAATCTGAAAGAAAATAAAGATTGACAGTAGACTGTTGTGCCTTGAATAAAGTGACTCCACCACTAAGCACTGCTCTGCCAGACATGCTCAGAAAATTGCTTCAGAGTTTGGCCCATATCCTCTCAATCTCTACACCACTCAGGATGTTCCATGCCTGAGTCAACTTCTGGGCCAGGGGTCTCATCAGCTCCTGTGGACATCTCAGCCCTCATTCTAGACAAGCTACAGACCATATAAAGGAAGCTTACTAGATTAAATATGACGAAAGTGGTCTCTTTAACATTCAGGAGAAAATGAACATTTTCAAAAAGGGATGAAACAGATCCAAAGGATAAGAAGGAAAGAAAAGGCTGAAAAGCCTCATCTCCTGCTCCTCCTCTAACAAGCTGGATGCAATTACTAATAAACCTCCAAAACATGCTACTGGAACTAGGATGCAGGGTAGGATGAAGAAACTGTAAACCACACATACCTTGAACAGATTCCAGTACCTTTGTAAACTCCCTATAAATCATAATCACCAAGCCCAGCACAATGGCTATTCTAATCTATGCCCCTCTACTATAAATGGTACATGTTAGGGACAATACTGGAGCTATTTCCAGATAAGAAAATTAGCAGCAAGGTATTAAAACCTCAAAAAAGCCTAAGAACCAGAAACACATGAAGACCTCCACCCCAAGTTATGAACATGGCTACTGACTCCTTTATCCCAATACAGAATAAGTTCAACCAAAATGCAGTTCATACAGGTTTTTTCCATTTTCTCAAGCCCCATGCTCAGCAGCAAAATAATGTATGTGTCTTGGTTTAAGGTAAATTTGGGAGAAAACTTCAAAGGGGTTCTTTTAGAAAGCAAATTGAAGTAGCCCCTCCCCCAGCTGGTTTGGGAAAAGATTTCCTTGGAGAAAAATAGAAAAAAGCTGTTTATTTTGGCAAACTGTTTATTTTGTTAAACTGGCAAAGCATTTACCAGCACAAAAAAAAAAGAACAATATTTAACAATAAAACCTCTTGCTGCTCTGAAGAGATAACTAACTCAGAAAGTCCCCTTTATGGGTTGCAGTTCAGCTCACTCAGTCTGTTATCAGTCCCTCCTGCACAGAAATTCTGTGGCCCAGGCCTGGCCCAGTGGGCCACGGATGTGAGCTGCCAGTGCTGTTCCAGGTTTTCAGTCCAGAGCAGGTTTAAACAGTTCCAAGACAAAGAAAAACCACAGTCCAGGAAACTTCTCTGCCTTAAATAGCTAAAAACTAACTAAAAGCAAAGGAAAGGTCTCTCCCACCATCTGTCTGTTCTGCAGACAACACTGTTCATGAGAAGGATGTGGGGGAGTAAGTGCAGTTCCTGATAATAAACTCTGTGCTTCTTCTCTCTCTCCCATTCCTCTTGGAACCAGTTTTAAAGGTGCAAAACTTATTTATGGGCTAAACAGACAAATGGGGATACAGGCATTATAAAGTCACCTCAGGACATACATAAAGTACCAGCTGCTGTAAATTATGCAAAAGCCCTTGACACCTTACATTAGAAGTGTTATTTCCATGTCTGTCCTTGGAGAATGGCAGAGAACAGCCAGAATTGCAAAAACAAATGCAACAGCCTCTCCCCACCTTGCCATAAGAAGCACATTAATTGAATGCATTTCCTACTGAATTAATGAAATCAGTGCTACATTCTTACCTGTGAAAGTGATTAGACGTTCTTCTTAATGCCAAAAAAAAACATTCTTAGGGCATCAAGTTAAATTCAGGATATAGATGCAAGAAGAGAAATACCAGATGGTTTGCAGTGAAAGTGTCTGCTTTTGTCAGACATGGCAAATTTTCCTACTCTATAATGTCCATCTTAGTGAAGCCTATCCTGGATGAGGCTGGTGCTTACAGGACACAACAGCCAATTTAACAGCTTATATTGCATTAGGTAATTGGTTTGGTATTGTCTTATCATGCAGCACTACTTGCTGTTTCTTCCTGTGCTCAGCTATGCTGCCTAGACAAAGCAGTATAATCACAGCTGGTGTGACTGGCCATTCACTCAGCTGCTGTAGGCAGCTTCTGCAATCTCATAGGCAGTGTCAGTAGTGTTAACTACAAGTAAGGAAATTGGCACTGTGAAGGGCAGAAAAATTGTGAACTCCATTTGGGGAGGAATGCTAATTCAGTCTTACTTGCCTCTGAAAGATGCAAAGGGATTAACTCCTCAGGATTTTAATGCTGGGCTTTTTGAGCAAGCCTAACTAACAAGCTCAAGATAGAGTGTCTCAAACAAAGCTGGTTACCTTGTACCCTTTGGAAATCATGGAGGCGATCTCACTAAAGAAATCACTGTTAAAGAGGCCACACTTATCTGTGATTTTTACACTGTTTGAATATGAAATAGTGTATTTAACAGATGTGTTTGAATCCAGTTGTAAACCTTCAATGCTGCTTTAAGGGCTCTGTCGTTTTCTGCTTCTTGAAGTTCTTGCATCCAGACAGTTTAGTTCTACTTAAAGAGATTAAATCTTGACCTTGTATTCATTTTATCTGAAGCAGGCTGTGTTCCAGATGGATAGAAGTTGGAGGAATTTCTTAAATTTAACTTCTACTTGTTTTTTCTCAGGGAACTCTCTGTTGGTCGTGGTTCTACAGCACCAGTGGGTGGTGGAGCTTTCCCCAAAATTCATTCAGTTGAACCTTGGGATGGCAAAGATGGTGAGGTAAGAGATACTCCATTTCTGAAAGTGCTCAGCAATTGTGTTCATAAGGGACAGGATAGAGTAACTAACAGCTGTCAGTGTGAAAGTTCCTGTTCTCAGAAGATTATGGCAAGCTGTGTTGATGGTTTCCCATTATCTTAATCCTGCCAGCAAACCAAATGATACATTGATCATCTGACATTGCAGACCAGATGTTCCTGCCTGTTTGGATGTGTGATCTGAAAGCTGGATCACTTGAGGCAGATATAATACCAGTGCTGACTAAGGAAGCTGGTAGTGCATGCATTCACGAGCCCAGTGTTGTGGAATTCTGAATATGCTGACCTTGCCATCAAGTTTTTAATGCCAGAAAACTTCTTAGGTAAAGCCTGTGTAATAAATAACATGGTAACCAAGTCTGCCTTCCTAAGATTCAACAAAACCAAAGTTACTGAAGTCCTTTGATCTACTTTAGATAGATAAAAACACTGAATATGGTAGTAGTTTTGTTACAAAGTTTTTGTATAGCCTTCATCTGGAGTATTTTGATTAGTAAAAAACAACCTCCTAGTCTAAACTCTGATCACTTGTCCTGTGCTTAGTGCACTTTGAGTTTTCTGAATGAAAGAGATGACAAGAGAGAGCTTTACTCTCAGGATGAAGTAAGAATCTTTTCAACTCGGGGTCTCCTGGCATTAAGCACTTCTAAACATGTACTCAAAACCTTCCCCTTTTAACAGCTTCCAGTTGAAGATGACATTGATCTCAGTGATGTGGATCTGGATGACTTGGGTAAAGATGAGCTGTGAGATCTTCAGGAAACTTCTTTTCTTGGGAGAGCCTGCGCAGCAGTTTGCAGCCTGGATCACAGTCAGACAGATATTTCAGTGGCCTTTTTTTGGAGAAGTAGCACATGACACATTGTGCTATTGGGTGCACTGCAGCAGTGGACTGTACGCATCTCAAGAAAACATTGCAGAAATTCTATGAATTGTCATAACCAGTAAACTTGATTGTATTCTGTGTAACAAATATTTTGAGGACAACATGGATATTTCTTTGGAACATCTTGGGTTTTATTTTGTTGATAATGTGCTGTTTGAGTGTTTACTGGAGGCTGTTAGTGTAACCAATTTTAACTGTAATTTTTTTCATGGAGGTGGAACCTGCTCAGCTTCTGTTTCAATTAAAGAATAAAATATTTTTTGACACACAGTGTTAGTCTTGTATAGAGTAAGAAAGGTGCACATAGTACAAGCAGTCCCATTTTGGACTCTTGAAAGTTAACTGTATAATAGAGAGGCTTGTGCAGAGAGGAGTCCTAAACCACTTCCTTGCTGTGAGATCTTGACAGTTTGGCTAAAGCTTGATAAAATGGACAATCTTAGTTTAAATGGTCTTCAGTCTTCCTTTTCCTATTCCTTCTCAGGGGCTTTCTCTTTCTTTATGCCAGGCTTCATAAGATCATTAAAACAATGGAAGTGGGTTGCTGCTGCAGTGAGTGATGCTGGGAGCTGTTGGTCTTTCCCCTGGATTAGTGATGAAGCTAATCTGTGTTTTAGGGCATAAGGATTTCCAGGTGCTAACAGAAAACCACCCTGGTGCTGTCTCCAGCAAATAGAGTAATATTTCTTCACTTCCCATCTGGCATTGTTTTGATCTGAAACTGCTATTTCCTTTGGAAGGGGAATCAGGACTGTGATAGGGATGTTTGCTGCTGCTTTTTTAATAAAAATACTATTATTTTATTGCTCTCCATATCTTGTATATTGGTGTCTAGTGAAGTGACCCTGATGTGATTAGCTTGTTAATAAATAAGGAATGAAAGAGCTGAAATATTCCCCTTCTTTCAAGGAAATAATATTTGTCATCTGGTGTCTGTAAGAGATTGCCCGTAGCTCATCCCTATGAAAGGCAGTGTCAGAACCATGGGCAGTCAGCAGTAACTGCTGATTCTGTGCAGGAGATGTGCTCCAACTCTTAAATCATCCCAGCAGATGAGCTGTAATGGAACTGTTCTAAATGAAATATCTTTGCAAAAACTAAACTCATGAGTACTTGGGACTGTAAGTCATATTATGACAAGTCCCACAGCACTTTTGAGCATCTTTCCTCTTAAGCTTTTGGGTTTTTTTGTTAAATTAATGGAACATTGGGCTTTGCTCTGATGCTTTCTGCTTTATCTGTTTGGGTTTTTTTAAGTTTGCTTTGTTAGAAAAAGAGGACTGTATACACCTAGTAGATCCATTAGCCACCATGCTTTTTAAATTGTTTTATTTCAAGTCCAGTAGATACTCCATCTTTGTAATTTACCAAAAAAAAATAAATACTACCATAGTACCTCTGCCTCTGAAATATGCTTTTGTAAAACTATGAATAAGAGATAACTTTTATTGTAGTCACTGTAAAAATTACTAGAAGTGGTAGGAAGATCATCCTGCTACAGTATCTGCATTTTAATTTGAGTTTCAGCAGCTAAAGATTGTTTTATGGTAACATGACAGTCAAAAATTAATAGATGAAGCTCGAGCAATTCTTCTTTAACTGCAGTCAAGAAGACTGAGGTCAATCTTGAAATAGACATAAGGGTAGTATTCTTGATTACTCAGTTGTAACCCAGGGATGTCCATGCCAGGCTGCAAAAGGAATAATGGCTTTAGTACCAGTAAACCTGTGCAGTTCCAAGCTCCAGGGGATTGCTTTTGTGCTCCTTTCCCACAGGAGCAATGGAGCTTTGTGCGTGCCATGTTTAAGGTGGGAATTCACCAATGAGAATCTGCTCTGCTTCTTGTTTCAGGTTGCCTAATGTAATTAGTATTGAGAATGCTTGTGCTGTTTGAACTTGCAGTATTTTTGTGTGTTTCAGCTCTGCAGCAACTCATCTCTGTCTTCCCTTTATGCAATAGGACCTGTGCTTGCTGGGTTTAGGTTGTTTCAAAGGCCTGCTAGCTCATTTATTCTTCAGCCTAAATTGTTTTGAATTGCAATTGAGGATATGGGGAAGAAGAAAGCAAGTACTGCTGCTTGTTGAAGGCATAAATTATTTATAAATGACAGCCTTTTACAGAGGACAGAGGTGTGACAGTCCTAGGGTTTAGTTCCAAAGTAATTTTTCTTGCTTGTGTTGATCTGAATGTTTATAGTAGATTTTAAGCTTTTTATGTAAATGAGCAGCCATAATTGAGTAGACCTATTTTGTTCTGGTAGCTGTAAACATCAGATGCTTCAACAGAAAATATAAACAATCTCTGCATCTGCATCATAATCTGAGTTCACCCTAAACCAGTCTGTAACCAGCTGGGATTAGAGCTGCATCCAGGATTCCTGTAATTGCAAGATGTGAGCAGATGCGTGCACTAACCCCAGTGGAAGTGTTCATTCAGCTAAGCTGAGAAGCTACAGCACTTACACCTGCATCCAAATACGTACATCCATTATACTTGCTGCTGCAACTTCATCCAGGTGTTTGAAGACCATGTTCAGGACATCTCTCAGGCGCTTCACAGACTTCTTGTTTGGCTGCAGCAGCATTGCTTGGAAATTCACAGGGAGGCCATACCTCGGAACACAACATACATGATCATCTGCTGGGAAGGGCCACAGCTGTCTGCTCATGCCCTTCTCCCTCCTCAGCCTCCAGGCATGCCCACTGGTGGTGTGTTGCAGAAACAATGCTGCCTCCTCACTGGAAAGCATTTTTTTGAAGCCAAAAGTCAGCTAAGCAGTGTCTTTCTCCCTTCCCTGTAAGTGCCCCCCCAAAAACAGTTTTTCATCAGGTTCGTATGTCACCTTTTTTGTGGACATCTGTATTGTCTCCTGTGAGCTCCTGGAATGAAGTGTGTAAGGCACATACCTCAAGCAAGACAAAACAAGGTGTGTAAGGGTTCCTCCCACAAACGAACTGCACCAGGAAGAGAGCTGTACAATTGACTTCCCCAGGAATCTCTGCCTGTACTCTGTTTACTCACCTCAGGACAGATTCAACAAAAACTCTCAAGGCTTTCACATGAATCCAAGCCACAAATGCTTCACTGAAGTTCACCTTCAGCCAGCGCAGTAAGGGGCCCTGTGAGACCAGAACAGTGCTGTGATCCCCTCGCTGAATGAAGCAGCTCCACAGCCAACAGTGCCATTGAGGCCATCATGGGCTGCTGGGATAGTTTCAGGCAGCCTGATAGTGGCTCCCAGTCTATCAGAAACTCAAGTGACCTAGGCCAAATCACTGTTATTTTTCTATGCCTCAGTTTTATGGGCTAAATGGAGCTCACCAGAGACAATTGGAACCATAAGGCCATTTCTGAGAGAGAAATTTGTGCTTAGGCATGCTGGTAGCAAAGGCTACCACTATGTGGCCACCAACTCACAAGGTGCTACTTACATACTGCTGTTTCTTGTCGGAAGCTAATTTCATGAGCTCTTCCTTTTCACATTTCAGTTCCTTCTCATCATAATAAAATTCTCGAACCATGAACCTACAATTGAATGACATTGTCTTTCACATGCCTTAGTCCAGGCAATATGCACACTCATTTCTTTTTCCCCAGGAGAAGCAGGTATGGGAAGTTAGCCATTTAACAAGTTAAAGTATGTGGAGGATAGGAGTTGAAGTCACTCCCAGAAAGCCAGCTTCCTGCTCTCAGCAGAATGAGAGCAGAAAGGGCAATTCCAGGATCTGTAACTTGGAGTGTAAGAACAGGATCACTGATTCTGCCACCACAACTCCTTCCCACCCTGCCTTCTCAGTGGCTTTACGGCCAACAGAAACCCAAGCAGTCAAGAAGTCCTAAAACCAGTGATGGATTCAACATGCTGCACACAAGCCTCCCCTGATCCTCATCTCTTGCTAGCCTGCCCTGCCCAGCAGGCAGGGCTTCTTACCTGTTCTCCCTGGCTTTAGCCTTAAAGTCATCCATCACTTTTCTAAATAGGGTCACAGTGAAGAGTCCTCCCTCTGCATCCTCAGCAATCATTCTGTGGGAGAGAAATTCACTGCTATGATTTGACATGGCAAACCCCTCATGCCTTTTTAACCTACCTCATCTTGCCTTTTTGCAATTCTTTTTATTTTCGTTTATGATACTGAACAACACCGTGCTTTTTGAAAATTGCTGTGACAGAAACAGGGAACAATTACTTTATTGCACTGGTTACTCTATCTCAATGTAAAACTCAACTGGCTTAGTTCCTGAACCCACTGTAATACACACATATTCTGCCTGCCTGATTTTTCTGTGTTTCCTGGTAACATTTCCCCACGTGGTTTTTGTGGGTTTGTGCACATGGGTTTTTGTGACAGGCAGTAGACAAGACAGCTTGTTTTCTTCTCTATGCTTTCCACCTTCTGCATTTCAGGTAATTGTCAGCTCTTGTGCCCTGGACTGGATCTCATAGTCTGCATGAGCTGAGCAATGGAGTATTTATGTCCTAGGAAAGAGTTTTTACCCAAGGTGAAAGGATGAGCTAATATGGCTCTTGCTAGTGCAAATGACAGTATGCTGAATTACTCTATGTTACAACAAGAAACAATTAAAAATGCAGATCTAGTGTTTCATCTTTTTATAAAGTACTTTCTATAAAGCTCTATGTGATTATATCTGAACAATACCTCAATTAATGTAATAAATTGCCTGTTTTACACAAAAAGAAGCAACGGCCTGGTTGAAAATAAAAAGAATTACTGGAAAAGGGAAGCTAATTGTAAAAAATGACCTTTTTTATTTCATCTGTACTTTCCTTAAACAAACTAATTTCTATTTGAATTGCAAATACATTAATGTGTAGCCTATGTGTTTAGACTAGTGCTTTCCTCTAGGATCTAGCAATTTGAGGGGCTGAAACACGATAGGGATATCTGAAACAAACACAGCTTAATTTGGAATTTCACTTACTTGGTGGAGCGAGGTACTACCATATCTGAGAGTGATTCATAGGTCTTCTGCCACTGTAGGTAGCTTGACCTTTGAGCAAAACAAAACAAAGCACAGTAAACAAATATATGCTAGAAAACAAATTTTTATATATGTAGTTAAGCTAATAACTTAGGGTAGAAGGATTGAGCTCTATGTGCTCTGTTATGTCCTTAAGATACATTAAGCTTCTCCTATCCTTTCCTCTCCTAGTCACCAGCTGAGGAGATGCTTCCCTCCATCTTCACTTTGGATCTTGGCTTGAGGAAGGGTCAATATCAGGAAACTGATGGTGAAAAGAATGTGGCATAAACTTTTAGGCTGCCACACAGTGTGCTATGCTCCAGGACCCCTGCACAAGCTGCTCTGGTTCATGGGTGCTATATCTGCTATGTGCAATCCCAGAGCTTATTTGATGCTAGACTGCACTCCAGGTGAATGTCAGTCCTGCGAGAAAGGGAACAGTATGGTAAAGGAAAAGGTATGGTAAGAGTTTGCAAAGAGAGAAGTCTCTTTTTAGTGTGAATAAACTCATATAATGAAGTTAACAAACTTACCTCGGATAGCTTTTTGCAATCTGTTTTTCAGAGACAGAAGAGTAATGGTGCTGTATGTGTGTGTTGGGACAGGGCTATATGAGAGGAAAAGTTTTGTGTAGGGCTCTGAGGAGAACATGGTGTAACTTCTCCTTTGGTGGCAGTCATCCTATATATAGCCACTTACAAAGGCACAGCCAGCAGAGACTGTGAGTTGAACAGGTCTAATTCCTTTTAGAAACTGCCTATGCTGCAGTAAAAATCTGGGGGGGTTTTATCTCATATTATTCCTATTAGGAGACTGAGAACCCACTCATAACCATGAAGAACCTACATGCCAATTGTCATGCTCCAGCTTTGGTGCAGTCTTTGTCTACCTCTTTTGTGCTAGCACCACTCTTGGCAGAAATTGTTCTTTCCTCTTTGTTAAGGGTTTCACCTCTGTCTCAGTAGGGCACCCATAAGCTACCCCTGCCTGACCCAGTATCACCTGGTTCTGGTGTTCAGGCCTGGGACTCAATGCCACACGGGGTGTGTGCACACACTGTTGCCTTACTTTGGCACCACAACGAGCAGCGTGATAAGATACTCAGAATTCAGAACAAAGTCTTCCTTGTGCACAATGTCTGCCAGGGTGCGGGTCAGCAGATTTCCCCTATGGAAAGAAGACAAAGTAAAAATAACAGTAGCAGGAGCTCAGCAGTGGAACATTGGAGGCATTGTGCTGTGGGTGGAGAAGCTATTAGAATATACTGGGGTAGAAGAAGGCCTAGAAGGAGGTACCTAAAGGACACAGCAACACTTCTTAAACGGCTGTTTCGTTATTTTTACTGCAACTAAAAGAATCAAAAAGTAACTAATGCTAAAGGACACAATATTGATGACTAGCAGGAGGCCAGTTTATGCCCTTTATGTAAAATGACACCATTCTGCTGCTATTGTTTTTACAGTAAGGGTGTAAATACTTGGGAAGTGCACATCTGCTCCCAATCATCACTGCATCTTGTGGGAAGCACCTGCTCTCTCAGGAAGCCTGTTGAGCTGCTTGTGTGACTGTGCTGCAGGCAGAGTGAGTGTTGTACTTACAGACCTAAGCCATCACAGCAACCTGGCATTCCTGGACTTCCATGGACCAGCACACTGAGACACCTCCTGCTGAACAGCAGCAAGAGCAGCGGTCTCATGCACAGGTGGGACCTTCAGGAGGTCTCCAGGATGTCTCCACATACTAAGCCCACCTGATCACATTAATTCTTAGGACATGTAGATAGCCAAGGCTGGCTGTATATGGCTGGAAAGCACTAGGTGTGAAGAGGAGTTGCCCTTCCTGTCACTCAGCAGGAATGAAGAAGGACCTAAACTAGTAGTTTTGGGTTTGAGGTTCACTGGGCCAGTCTAAATATTAACTAACAGACTGGTAGCTTATTAGATGTTTGTTCAACCCAAGCTCTCTGGTCCTGGTGGACACCAGAGTTGACAGCATTTAAAGATGAATGGAATGGTGGTCTCCATTCTTCTCCCTCCTCCCACTGCTGGAGCCCTGGCCAGCAGGCTGCCAGCCTGGCTGGCTGCAGTGTCAGGCAGCCACCTGTGCCCTGTGCCCAATCCTGAGAAGAAACACTAGTACATATGAGCATGTGTTGGGTGAGGGCTTGTACAGCATCATCTAAGTAGTTCTAAATTTACTAATTACTGGATTTTACCATTCTCCCCAGTGATATCCTAGAAAAAAACCCAGGCATCAGCAAAGACCATAAGCAGATGAAGACAGGAGAGAGAACATTTGGGAAGCCTGAACAGTGCATTACCTGAACCAACAGAAGGAAAAAAGAAAACAAAAATATAAGTGGGGTGCTAGTGAGGTGCAGGATCAAGCAAGACAGAGCTGTTTCCTATGGGAGCTTTGCAAATGCTGTTCAGAACATAGGACACAGCTCTGTGTGGCAAAGGAATCCACCAGCTGGCACAGCTCATCTAATTTCTGACTCCCTGAAGTCCCATCAGATCAGAGCAGTTGATTTTTTACAAGACTGCCTGCTCACACTGTCAATAAAATCCTACCAGGAACTTTAGTCTCCCTGTGCTGATTTTGAGATACACTGACCACACCAGCTACCACCTGTTCTCACTGGGTCTCTAAATGCCCAGCATGTCCCAAAGCTGGAAAAGTTGTTCCCACCAGAACACTGCAATAGGTGTGAGGACACACTGCCCACATTTCAGCCACGCAACAGCATTCCCAGTGCAAAATACTTACATAGTTTTCTTCTCCAGGCTTTGCAAATTTCCTTTAATGTTGTTGTATGCAGCTGATCGGGTCTTCAGGTCTGTTTCTATTTGAGTCACTTGCTAAAACAAAGTGAAAAAAGGGAGTCAATGTGCTTGAGGCTTTGTTCTCAGCTCTGTCACACAACTACCACCTTAACACAGAGAAACAGCTTCAGCTTCCAGCTCCCCTAAAACCACCGGCCTGTGGCCGAGAGCCAGGGTCAGAGCCCCCCTGAGGCAAAGGCCTCTGCAGAAAGTAGGGTTCAGTCAGCTGTTGCTGTTGGTGTGCTAGAGCTGTACCTAAGGGACAACTTCATGGTTTTATTTGTTACCTGTGCTGAACAGCAACACATCATCCCTTTCTGAATGAACTGACAGTGTAAATAATTCATCCAGCCAGAAGGCTTTTGATTTAATGTCAGACTAACAATTTCATGAAAAACACCTCTGAAGTAGAGAATAATATGGCAGTATATGGGAAAAAAAAAAAAAAAGAAAATTACAATGAAGGGGATTATAGTGCATAAAACATATCAATGTACTGTAGTGAATTTGATAAAGTGCCATATACTTACAGACTGAATAGGTTTCAATAGATGTATCATTATTATTGCAGTAGAAATTAAAATAATATCAACTGCTTCAGTACAAAGTGTGTGCTTCCGAGTTTGTTCCTGCCCAAACCAGAGGCAAAGGCTCCTCTCCCACCATGAGAGGAGGGATCACAACCAGCCAAAAGACATGCTTCCCCATGATGACATCTTAAAATCTGGAGTACAATTTACCTTTGCTAATGCTTCTGATATATTCTTCAAAGGCTGCTTTATGGGGTATTTGGCCATGTCCCACTCAAAGCGTGTCAAGTAGCTAATTAGGTCAACTGAAAATACAAAGAGATGCATGAAAGCAGGTAATGTACCAGATGGCAGGTCAAGATTTGGGGAGTAGTCACCAGCTATAGCTTAGGCATAGCTTTGATTAACTTTAGAGCATTAACAAGAACCCCCCCGTCTCAATTCTAACAGAGATTTGATCTAGATCAAATATGCACAGATCCTATGCCAAATCTAATCAACTTCCTAAACATCCCCAAAAGTCAAAAGTTAAATCAAAAATCTTTTCTGAATTACACCTAACAGTACAGAAAAAGTGTAAAATTATCTGTATCAGTGGGATACAGCAGTGTACATCTACTCTTCTTCACAGTAAAAACAGTTTTGTGTAATCTCAGTCTTGATTTCTGCAATATGCCCGAATTTAATCTCAGCATCAGCTATCAGAAAAATACTTTTTGCCCAGGATCAGCAGTAATATTCAGGGTTGCTGAGAGCTTGATCAAAGGTACTAAGACCATAAGAGATGTCACTTCTCTGATTCAGTCAAGTGCTCACTAGAAATCAAACAAATGCAGGTGCAATGAGGAGTTCCTCATTGACTTTGCCCACAGAGGTTCCCATTTCACACAAAGACTATTTATAATTATTTATATAATAAATAAATCCAGTCACAGCATCCAAGAACAGAAATTCACAGCAAGGATCTGTGCATGCAAACCCCAAGACAATGCACTCTCAGACCACAGGGACCCATAGCTTCTTTCCAGATTGAAGGGGAAATGAACACATACAGCACCCAGCTCCTAGAGCAAGATTTTCCTGTTTCACTGTTTGAAGATCAAGGGCTCTTAATGTTAGGAAACATTAAGGCTTAGTACATTATGGTACCAAATAAAGAATTCTCCTCCAGCAGCTCATGAAATCAAACAGCTCTTTGTCTGAGTCCTGAGAGTCTTTGGATGCTGAACTCACCACTACATAGTGTTCTTGCAGACCTTTATAGGATGGGGTAAAGTCATGCATCCTGCCACAATGAGAAGGGCTGGGACTGCCCCCCAGAAAGTTAGGGAGACAAGGGAAAGGCAGCAGCCAGAGTGTCAAGGTCGAGACAAAGAGGCCAGAAGCAGTCACATAAAGGGTGGTCTTCCTTCCAGACCAGGAGGGTAAATATGAAGAATGTCTGGAAAGTTGCTCTAAGGTGATAGGGAGCAAAACAAGCTCAAGGGACCAAGTAAAAGGACATGCATGCTGGGGTCCTTCAGTGTTCTTTGCTGCCTTGTTCAGGGATTGAGTTCAGTCCCACAGCAAGGTTTGAGCACAATTTCTTGGGCTGGATTTTGAGGTTTAGTAGAAAACTTTTTGAACCAAGATGCATGAGAAGGAATGTGAAAAAAACTGTGCAATTGCCACCCTACCAGGCTGAGGGTACTCTGCGCTCTCATGTGATAATGAATACGCTTGGCAGGAGAGCACTATCCTTTCCATGGGCTTCTCTCACCCCACAACAGAGTCAGTTTACCCTATTAGATTTCCAAAGCATGGAAAATCTTATGTTAGGAGAAATAGGCTTCTTAGCAAGAGGTAAACTGCCTGGAAGGCAGAGAGCACTTGCCATGGCAGTGTTCTCCCCCTCTTCCAAAACCATAGCTGTGTCGACGTCCCCCACATTCAATGGACAAGAGTCATAAGGCAAAGATCCAACCCTCCCTGCTAATATCTCATCAGGAATGAGCAAATTGTCCTGCACAGGGAGGGTCTAGAAAAGGGGCAAAACTGCAGAAGACTGGGAGAGCTATGACATAGCTGCTGTGTGCACAGTTCTCCATTGATGCTTGCTCGTGATCTCTGTGGGGAAGGCAAAGAGGTCAAAAATATTTCAGCAACAACGTTCACACAGCATTTGCAGCACGGGGTACACAACACAAGGATTTCACCCTGCTGCCTGTCTCCTAAGCTCATGTGTTTAGGCTTTGCAGACACAGGCCCTTTGAAGACAGACACTGACTGATTTATAGCTAATGAGCTATGGAAGTTCCCTGAAGAACTTCACATGTCCTTTCCATCCTCACATTCCTTAAATCTCAGCAGCATCCAAATGTTGGGCAGTTGAGCACAGCATGAGTTCTCAGTCCAGTTTTTCAAGCTCACTCCTGAGTGAGTTTGCCAGTGCTAGCTGGCACTGGTGCAGGTTAATTAAGTAGCCTGATCTTGGGGATGGCACGAACTACTACAAACACACTAGCAGAGCTGTATTTAAAATGCCAAGCAGCCCCAGCACCCTGATGCTCCTGGAATGGCATCCCTTGTTTAAGGAATCTGTCAAGTCACTTCTAAAAGGCTTTGCAGAGCTGCCCACCCAGGAGAGATGATTCCTACCAGCTCACAGCTGCCCAGGGAACCCACAGCCTGCATGTCCTGTAATCTAACATACACACCAGCTCTAAAACACAGTGTTAAATACCTCCCCCCCAAAACACTCAATTCTTCAAAATTGTTATGCTTCCCATTTTGCTTTGTTTTGGGCTCACTATAAAGAATGAAGTTATTCCATCACTTACCAAATTTTAAAATTCATTTAGGTTTAACATTTTCATAAATGGAAGAGAATTTGGCACAAATATTTGAAGAAAAGCTTTACTTAAATTTCAAGAAAGGTTGTTTATGCTGTTATGATGTATTAAAAGTTTCTATATTACACAAGCACACATTTCCCTCTGTAAGAGGGAAATTTGCACATGGCTGCTTTCAGTTGTTGTACACTGGAGAGTTGAGTGTCTGTGTGTATGTGTGAAAGTTCATGTAACTAAAAGTGCTTTATTTTTTACTATTTTGCTTTTTTTCCCCCTAAAAATCTAAAAAAAAATCTTTTTAGACACACAGCTACTACCAAACTGCTATTGGGGTTACATACAAGTGAGCTAAAGACAGTGTTACTCAAAACCATCTTGGGACGGTCAAATAGTATGAAACAGGACCACAAAACAAGAAATCATGTCTTATAATTTTGTTTCTGATTTCACATCCTCAAGAAAGTCTTCAACTTTATAGTTCTTTTACTAATCAGAAAGGGAAGGATGAATTGTTCCAGTAAAGTTGCTGATGCTTATGAAGACTGACACTGTAATATATTAGGGGAATCCTCATATACTAAAGCTGACTTCATTTTTTAAGATGCAGTCAGTAATCTTAAAAAGGTTAATGTCCTAATCCAATATGATTTACTTGGATGACCAAACCTAGACAGAGGAAATTAATAACACATGCAAGTAATTTCCACATCTTTCTAATACAACACATGCAGAGATGATAGGGGGGGGGAAATGGTGTAAAAAGGGGAAACAAAGGAAATTAATAAAACCTGTTGTTTCTCAAGTCATAGGGATATCGTGATCAAGCTACGAGGTTGTCACTTGAGAAATCCATCGTAACCTGATCACTGTATCTCTACAACCAGACCAAGACTTGTGACTAGCACTAATATACACAAATGCATGCATGTAACAACACCACAACCATCAGTCCTCAACATACTTTGGAGACATTTCATTTTATCCTTTAGCCCTGAAACACAGTAAATGGGATTATTGTATTTCTCAAACAATTGCACCCATCAAACATCAGTTTTATATAATTTAAAGACATTTCTAAAAGAACTTCCTCCCCATCCTTTATTAATACAGGCCTGAAGTACAACATTGTAGACAAAGGGAGATGGACTGCACACCCTTAGTTTGTCCAAAAGCATCATGCTGTAAGTCTGTAATCAGCATGCATATCACATCCAATTTTGTTGTATTTTTCCAGAATAGATGGGCAGTGCAAATTACTATCAGATCCCTAACAGTTGTCACACAACCATACAGAATGAGATTTAAATGCTCTTAAGAAATCAAACCCAGGGAGGACACAGGTGTGCTAAGTCATGTTAGGAGTGAACAAGGATGTCTCTTACTTTCATCTTCACTCCAAAGTTAGCTTCTGCTGAAAAAAATGGGAGCAGACTAGACACATTCTTATAAAATGTTGCTGATGGTTGTCCTTTCTAAAGTGTGAGGGTTTCAATTCCACATACTCAAATTCTGAAGCAAGCAAAATCAGCATCAATGCATTTAAACCCCCACATTCACAGCACCTACCTCCACTAGCCAGAAGATTTTCCTGGACTTTATCTTTTGAGTCCTCCATAACTTCTCCTATGTACTGGGCTATTTTCTTTATCACGCTTAAGTGTAACAAAAGAAACTTCGTTAGTGAAGAAGCAAAATTATTACAAAACAGTTTCATAGTGATCTGATAAACAGAGAAATGCCCAAACAAAACACTTCTGAAGCAAGGCAAGTTAATTTGCAATTCAAATTATAATAAAAAAAATCTAAGATACACAGAACTAAATGTCTTACCTCTAAATACACTGATGTCTGCAAAAACGTAGGTAATCTCATTTTGCCTGTGCTCTGGACTTACAGAATATCAAGATTCAGTCTTCTGTACACTCATTATATACATAGCAGAAACCAGAAGGCAAGATAGGCAAGAAATTAATTTTTAAATCTCCCAAGGCGATGAAGGCAAAGGAGGCTACATACAGACACTGACTGAAGATCTGTTCCATAGGATGCTAAAGAAATCCTTAGGGCTTACTGAAAAAAGGTTCTCAGAAAATACTCAGGGGAAAATAGCAGTTATCTTGCTTGATGGGGAATTTCTTTCTTATTCCTTTTCTTTACAGGACTCATTCTCTCTTCTCGTTTAGCATAGTGGACAAGACACTGCTTTAAGGTGTAGGAGAGCTAGATTCAAATCCTTCTGCCCAGTTCAGAGTAGTGATTTGTACAGAGACCCTCCTAGAGAACAAAATCTCCACTGTACCACTTATTCTTTGCTCATTTTAAGAAATTGATTAATCAAGTCACTCTAGCAGTAGTTCCCCCTGTCACCAGTCAAAGTACCTATTTCATACAGGCTGCAAGACTTTCTGGTTATTTAAGTATCCCTCTGTACTCAAAAATATTCACAGAATTTGGCCTGCAGTTTGCTAACTCCTAGACTGACCACAGCTTGTATAAAACCCAGCAGCTACAAGGTTGCTGCCTGACCATTAAATTGGCAGAGTCACAAAGTGGACATAATCCTTGGCATTGTGACAGGGAGTGAAACAGCAGGCCTCATTTCTGCTTCATTTCTCTTTCTTTCCTTACTGAAAGGAGACTACAGCTGCAGATGAGCTGGAGACTAAAAGAGCATCTACAATGTTTGGGCATTCTGTTATGTGATTGAACAATGTGTTGTGACCAATCCTGTGGTTTTCAAGAGCAGAAAAGGAACTTTGGGCCAGGTATACATACCAGGAAAACCTCAGGGAAGAGGATTTTTCTTTCATGTGCTGCAAAGCAGTTGCATCTGTCTTTGTTACTGTGAAGAAACTTAAGAGTCTTGGGAAAGGTTTTCCAGTCCTATGACAGGTAGGAAAAGTCTGAGATTGCTGATGCTGACAAGAATACAGTACTCAAAATTTGTGCTGTTTAGGGTCAATTCAGTCTGAAGAAGAGAAGATCTTGTGATTTCAATATATAAAGGGATCCTATAAGAAAGTTGGACAGAGGCTTTTTACCAGTGCCTATAGTGACAGGACAAGAAGCAACAGTTTTAAACAAAGAGAAGATTTAGACTAGACATAAAGAAATTCTTCACTGTGAGAGTGATGAGGCACAGGCACAGGTTGCCCAGGGAAGTTGTGGGCGACCAGTCCCTGGAAGCATTCCAGGCCAGGTTAGATAGGGGTTTGAACAACCTGGTTTAATGAAAGGTTTTCCTGCCCATGGCAGGGAGCTGGAACCAGAGGATCCTTAAAATACCCTTTCAACCCAAATCATTCTTCTCATGACCCTGGACAGATGCAGTTCAGAGTGCCTGTAGGAGGAATCTATATCACTGTGCTCCAGTTCTCACCTCTTTCTCAGAGCTGCTGCAGTTTTTCACCACCTAACTGCAGCCCCATAGGGACCTAGCAGCAGCTGAGAGTTGTTAGAGCACAGCAGTGTTGCCCACACTCAGGCTGTGGCGGGGGCTGAGGGATCCAGACAGAGGTTCCCTGACAATTGCAACTTTGCCAAGCACTTCTGCAAATTTCAGCTTGTACATAGAGCTGTTTTTTGTCTCCTTCATGATGCTCAGAGAGCCCAAAGGACTTGTAACAAGATAGAAATTAGTAAAACCAGCATAGCAGGATGCTAAAGACATTACGGAGAAAGCAGTTCACAGGGACATGTATAAACCAGGAGCTTCTCCAAAGAATGGTTTCATTACTCTTGAGTGCATCTGGTGGCTGACCTGATAGGTGGGAAAGAGCTCTGGCCTCTCTCCATGGATACAGAGGGTGGGACAGGTGTGTGCTCTCATACACCTGACAACCCTACCTGCCCAGGCAAAGCTTGGCTCCCTTCCCACCCACACATCCCATGGTCCCTGCAGCAGGATACAGCAACACTGTGTGAATACACTGTGCCAGAGGAATGTTCTCCAGTCCCGCCTTAGCCTCTGCCTTGCATTGCATTATGTGAAATGCAAGTGGAATTCACTCTCTAATACGTTTCCCATGCAAAGACAGAACCTATCCCCTCCACACCATGGATATCTGGGGCAAATGACAGGAATCAGATCCCTAGAGGAGCCCTGACTATACTGACACCCAATAATGGGCAGTTTTTCTCAGCCAAATATCAGATCCCTGCCTTTAGATAAAATAAATCCCATCTTGAGCAAATATCATTATCAAATTATGCATTATAAAAAGAGAGAGTTTCACCAAAACTGCTTCAAGAAGTAGTAATTAAAATCTGTAAAGGGAGCAACTCAATTTAATCTACTATTATGTCTTGAAACTCTGATATTTTGCTTCTGCAATAGCTGCAATGTCATTAGCTTCCAAAAAAAAAAAAGTCTAACACCTTAAATGATACTGAGAAAGAAAGGGTGCTACCCACCAGGCCTCCAAAACACTGCAGGGACCAGAAGTCCTGCAGTCTGAGGCCACTCCCAGGTATGCCACTGACCAAGGACCAAAGAGAACCCACAGGTAAGAGTCACCCAGGAGACTGTCAGCTTTTGAGAGAGCTCCATGCTACCACAGGATGACATGGAAAAACACTCCTCCTCCCTGTGTAAATAAATAATAAAAGTATGTGGAAACAATAGCTCCTGCAAACTCTTGCCCCTTCTCTGCTGTCCTGGCAGGAGGCAGTGCTGACAGGTTTGCACTGCCTGGCTTTACTGGCAGCTGTGTTTATCCAGCAACAGTTCAGCAGGCAGCTCTTTCACAGGACCAGGAACATAAATGCTCAGGTCATCTGAACAGGCTTGTAATCCTCTGGATGCCATTTACTTCAACCAAGTGTGAGTGCTTGGCATTTTAACCCTTGAATCACAATATAGACATAAAACCTGAGGCATTTATTTAATGCAAAATGCTTTTCTATGTCCTTGTGGGATTCAGTCTGCTAATACCTCTGATGATTGTTATTCTCTGTTACTCCTCTAATGCATTTTTCTTATTTTTCAAAACACCTTTCTTATTTTTAAATCTTGTTGTTCCTTCCTGGTTACCTATCTTGACAGGTAAATGAGACAAACAGGAAGAGTCCTTGCCTCACTGACCCCTTTGCTCCCTACCTAGAGCCCATCAGAGAGTAGGAGGCATTAAAGGGACAATTAGTGGAGTAAAGTGGTGCTCAGTTTGAACAAACAGCTGTATCATTCTGGCAAGTAAAGACAAAGATAACAGAGTCAGTGAGCCTAAGGAGCTCCTACTGACATTTCTGTTCTAACTGCCCTCCATGATCTTACATGGATTCTGCACTTTTCAGAACTCCTAATTCTTCACAAAGCTGGGAATTAGTTATGCCTTTCTGAAAAATCAGTTCTGATGATTTCTGGCAGCCCTCAAACAGATCACACAGCTGCTTCCTATCTCCTACCCTGACTAGAGACACAGAATCTCAGAATATTCAGTTTGAAGAGATCCACAAGCACCATTGAACACTTTCCATTAGAACACATAGCAGGTATGGGCACTGTCTCTCCCCAAATTTGCCCCCATTTCCACTTCCTCAAGAACCTCTGAAATTGAAGAAGAAGTTGGAACATGTTACAAAGAATATGGGGCAGTATTTTTGGCAGGGTCACGATGGAGATGGTTTTGTTGATAAATTAAGTTGCACTGTCTTGCTTAAAGTCCTGAAAAAGCTGTCTAGTTTAATTTTAGGTAGTCCTGTGAGGAGCAGGGTGTTGGACTCAATGATGAGTTTTAGCTCGAGATATGAATCATATCTATGATTCTAAAAGATCAGTCTTGTGTGCTACCCAGAGTTATCATATGCAATCATTCTAATACAACCCTTGTGTAGCACTAGTAAAATCAGAAAACAAAAGTGCTATGGAGAAATGTATTCTAGCAGACCAACTTTTACTTAAACTGCCTAGCATAGATGCAAACAGTTTATATCAGGGTTTCTGCATCCCTTTGCAACTGCCACACAAAGATCTATGAAAGGATTGAGCATATTTAGACAAGAAAATGCTTATCAGTCCAGACTGGGAGAAAAAAGGCAAAAAGACCCAGAGCTAATTCATATCTCTGTGACCAAAATTAGGTAAGCTGCCAAAGCAAAAAGTAGAACAAAGCAGAAAAACCCAGCAGCTTATACCTTCACTGCCTCAAAGTCTACCTGGCATTTTCTTAGATTGCTGTACTACATTATTCTTTTGTATGCCCAGGTCAGTTTGTCCTAAAAGGCAAACTTGGTAATTATCAGCAAGGAGATCATGTGAGTCTTTGCTGAAGTAGGCTTGATGCAATATGAGTCAATACTCTGGTTTTTAAGGATTTTAAAATCCTGAGAGGGAATGGTTTGTACTTCATTCGAAAGAATATAATCCTTAAAAGTCCTCTATCTGGTTGAAAAGGGATAGAAAATTCAATAGAAATATTCTGTCAAAACAAGGTCAGGGAGGGCTTCACATTCTCTAAATGTTGTTTTATCAAGTTTCTCGATGAGGTGGGAGGATGTTCTTTAAAACAAAAACAAAAGCACAAAACAAAGCAAAATAACCCTACAACCCACCACTTAAAGCAGTTTCCTTATGAGAAACAGCTTCACTAGCACTGCCACTTGCTGTGCTACCAAAGCTACTGTGGATATAATTCAGATAAATTTTAAGGAATGATCCTTTCTTTGTGATAACTCCATGATAATCAACGCAAGGGTTAAACAAAGCCTATCCACTTTAGTCCAGTTATAGTCCAGGCTGAACTGAGTCTGAGGTGAACACAAGGACATACCATCCCATAAAAACAATGTCTGTTTCTCATTTGTAGGTGGTAAATAAGATCTATTTTACCTTTCAGCAAAGCTATCAAGTTTTCCCAACTCATCTGACAGACCAACAAGAGCATCCAGTGTCCCCACCTGTGCAAAAGATGAGAAATAGGTGAAAGATGCACAACTCTGTCTAAGGCTTTTGTTGGCAAAGCCTTAAGGAGACTGACTTGTCCTTAGTACATGTGAATTTAACAGTTTGGCAGAACCTTATTTACTTCATGGAAAATAGTAGTAATTCCTTTACCCAAAAACTAGAGCATAAAAAGCCTTTTCCAATAAAGGAAAAAAGTATGTGTAGTCTCAAGATTACACAGCAGTGTCTTTCTTCCTGTTTTCAGTTCATCCTGTACCATCAAGCTGCATAGAATAATCTTTAACCAAACAAAATAATGACTGGAAATGCACACATGCAAACAAGTCAAATGTACTAAGAGAGCAAAGGGAAACAGCACTTATTCAAAAGGGGGTGTCAGTCTGTGTTCTCTGTTATTACCATAAATCTCTCACAAAGCCATTTCTGACCAATATTTGCTTTTTGAATCACTGTCAGTCATAACCCCATGTTTATGGTATTGCAGCATATTGCCAAATCTTTTCTTGTAATGTTGCCAGCTCAACATTATGTAGGGTCAATCTAAGGGAGAAGAAACAAATTTTATGTAGAACATATAGAATGCAAATGGGTGTCTTCAGATACTCCAAATGCTTTACTTCCTTCAGTGGAGTAAGGTCCACAGATGATAAAAATAAATCCATGGTTGATAAAAATCTTATCAATCTCAGGTGTGCATACAAAAAAGCAACACTCTTTTCTCTGTCAGTAGTCTTGCTGCCATGGCTGTGGATAGTCAGCTACTCCCTTTGCATTAGCAATCTATGATATACCATGCTGTATGATTTTGATGACTAGGAGCAAATTGTACATGGAATGCAATGCAGTTATTTAAAATCTCACTCATGTTCACTTCTTACACATTTACCCTTCAATGTGAAGCTTAGCTTCAAGCACAATGATTTATTTCTCTCTGATCAATTTTCAGTTGACTGAACACAACTCATCCCCCAACCACAGTCTCTTTCTACTCTCTGCATATTATCCCAAATGATAAACCTCATATTTATCCCAGAAGTCTTTAGCCCTGGCTAATGCTGCTGTTTTGCCCATATACAAACCCATCCCTCACTTACCTTTAAGTCTGGTATATGGAATTTACTGTTGCTGGAAAGGTTGGATTTAGATGTCACAGTGTTCATTCTCTCCCATGCCTGCAGATTTGTTCTGTCTCCTGGGGCAGAAATTAGCCAGAACTCCGACATGATCTAATATTTCCCCTTCACTGCTGGTCACTGTAGAAACTCAAAGCAGGTAAGTGGCTAAAAGAGCACCACACAAAATGTGTTCTTCCCTAAGAACAGAAAGAGTTAGAACAGATCATTGATTTCTTTTCTTCAGAAACACTAGGAGAGTAAGTCAGTTGTGTGTCTCAGGCTGAAATGGAACATGACCTTCTCCAGAATGCCACGGAAAGAGTGTGGCCGTTCCTTCCTTCTCAGGATTGTTCCATCCAGTTTCTGCATGAAGAAATGAAGCTTCCTCCTCCCCTTTTCCCTTCCAGCCTGTTCCATTTGCCTTGCGCTTTAAGTTCAGTGCCTAGGGGGGAACTTGGGAGCTTTACCAAACCACCCAAAAGTAATAAAGAATTTCTGCTTGATAAATATTCTCTCTCAAATTGTTGGACATTTGCAAGGAAAAATGAAAGCAAGACCTCTGTAGAACATAGAGGCTGCAAAAGATGCCACTGCCAAGACAGAATATTGCTCTCCTCTGTGTTTTTTCTTCCCAGGCTCGATAGGAAGGACCTGGAGGAAGGCAAGCCCTGGTGTACAGGGACGGTATCGGCAGAGCCACACAGATGGAACAGTGGCGAGAATAGACGGACAACTGTTCTGCGAAGCAGAGATAAGGACAGGAGAGCGAGTGGCTGGCACCACACCGCAATCCTCCGTTCCCTCCCGAGAGCTCCCGCGGAGCATCCCCGCCACACGCTCTCAGGTGCGCGGGGCAGGGCAGGTGCGGCACTCGCCCCTCGGCACCCGGGCCGGGCCCCGCCGTGCCCGAGCGCTGCCAGCACGGCTGTGAGGGGCTGC